TGGCTATTATAAAATGTCTGCAAGCATGGAAGCGAAATTTTACATATGTAAACCACTTCTCTTTTCGCTTGAAGTCGGCTCTATCGCTTATGGAAAAATTAAATTATATTCAACTCGCTTAAAAATTTGTTTTAAAAGCATTATACTCACAAAGAAAAATTGCACTTATGAATGAAATATAAGTATATTTCTGCTTCGCAGTAAATTTTTGAATCATGCTTCCTAGCTTTTGTTTGCACGCTTGTAATGATAGCGTATTTTTTCAACTGCCAACAAAAGAATTAAAAGATTTCAACAGTGCTGTACATTTACTAATGCTTTAACGCTAATTACATACGTTATTCACTTAAGCGAGTCGCCTGTTCGATTCGCCACTCGCCAAGGCGAAACGAAAGCGGCCATGATTACACTTTCGGGGGGAGGCTTTCATACATAAACTAATTGGCGCACTTGTTGCCCAATTTTATTTGACAATTGTGCTTTAATACACACCTGACATTTGTGGAGGACTGCCTTGGTTTTCAATTGGTTGCTGCTGCTGCTGCTGCTGCTGCGGTGGCGGTGGTGGCGGCGGAGTTACCTGTTGCAACTGCTGCTGTTCTTGTTGTTGTAGTTGTTGATTGTGTGATGGTAGCAGTTGTGCATGATGTGTCTGAGGTGGAAGTAGACTTTGCTGTGGCTGTTGTTGTTGTTGTTGTTGTTGTTGCAATTGTTGTTGCATTTGTGGTGGTGGCGGCGGTGGAGATATATGCTCACCCAAAGTATTTTGCAGCTGCTGTGGCGGTTGTTGCGATTGAATCTGTAAGATTCGTTCAGATTGTTGCGATTGCGGTTGCTGTGATTGATGTACTTGTTGTGCTTGTAAAGCTTGCTGATGAGGCTGTTGTACTCCGTGAGGCATTTGAATCGCCTCAACATTCATTCGCGGATTGGGTATGGCATTCAAATCGAATTCTTTCGGTGCTGGTATAGTATTCAACTGCAAAGGCTCTGGTGCAGGAATCATGTATAGTGGTCCCAAAGTCAAAGTCATGGGTAACTGAGGAGGTGGAGGAGGCGGTGGTGCTGCCGCGAAAAATGCTGCCGACATGGGGTGTGGAGGAGGTACCGGTGGCGGTTGAGGAGGATGATTAAATAAAAATTGTGGTTGTGTTGGTGGCGGTTGCAGGTTTGTCTGCGAGCCGTGAGGCTGCAATGAAGCTTGTGGCTGTGGTTGCATAGGTGCAAGTGTTTGCAGTGGTTGATGCAAAGAACGGCCATGCTGCTGTTGTGGCGGGGGTGGCACCGGTTGAAGGTGATGGTGATGATGTTGTAATGGTGCTTGAGACATCGGCGGAATAATCGTCTGCTGAATTTGTTGCTGCATGCCTGGTTGTGGAATAGCTTGATGTTGTGAAGGCACCATTGACGTTTGTGGAACTTGATTCTGGTTTTGCAAAGTTTGAACAGACGCACCTGCATGCTTATTTTTCTCTGTTGCATTAGTGTCGATAGGTTGCGTTGCAGCCATTTTGTCTGATGGTGAAGTGTCTGCGTTTGATTCGGGTCTAGAATATAAATATATAAATATTAGTTGCACCTACAGCGGTTAGTATTTATAAAGTTATTTACGCTGGTACGACTTGTGGTGGTTTGGGTTCATGTTTTTCCAGTATTTTCTTAAAATTCTCCAAAAATGAACCATCATTGCAAAATGAGTTGACCACTTTGGGAGGAGGTAGGTCAGCAACCGGCACTTGCGGTTGTAGGCGTTTAACACCAAATGAAATTTTGCCAGTTTTACCCGTAAAGCTGTTTAATGTTTTTGCAGTTGCAGACTCTGAGGACTCATCTTTCTTGCTTTTTACTAAGGAATCGTTACTGTAAAAAGATTTTATATTGATTATTTAAGGACATATTTAGTTTGAAAATATGTTAAATAAACCTTTTTTCAGTGGAAGATATTGCAATTTCTTTTGGCGTAGGTTCAATCACCGGCGCATCTGCTGAAGGCGTGGTAGCACAAATTTTAACGTCCTTGCTTACGTCACATATCTCTTTAGATTTTACTACGTCCTCAGTGCCTGCTTTCATTTTTGCAGCTAAAGTCTGCGCCGCTGCCACAGCTTTGGCCAGCTGAGCTGTCCTTTGCTTTTCTAAAATTTCTTGACGTTTCTTGGCAATTATTTCCTCCTGCTTCGACATCTGAGCAAAGCGATCGATACGTGCATTGTTGCGTTGCGCCATCTTGGATGTTCTTTCTATTTGCTTCAATGATTTAATGATTTACCTTATAATCCCATATCAAGTGGCATATAAGAAATATGTACGCATAGACTTTACCTATGTACTTGCTTTTACAATGCCGATATTAATATATTTGAAGGAACGTCCATATGCTACGCAGGTATGTACATATATGGAAGCATTATACACACGCAAGTGCAAGCTTATATAAAATCACATTAAATTTTCGCTTCTTCAACAACAGATGTTTGTTTTTTTTATAGAGCCGACAAATTAATAAATAAGTTAACTATGCTTCGATTAACTTTTTTTCGCTAATTTTCCAGGAATTCAGATTTTCACTCCACGCGAAAATGCAGTTTTTTACTTTCTACGACGAGAGAATAAAAGAAAGAACAGACGAAAGAAACTTCTAAATGACATTTTGCAAAAAGCCAGTGATGCTTACTCTTTTGATTCGCTAGATTTTTAAAAAAGGGGACAAAATATATTCTGAATTCCTGCCTAATAGCGTAGACAGACGGCAACGTTCATTAGGATTTAGTTTTAATTAAATTATTAATTCATTCAATTTTTACCTAAATTTTTTTTATTCATTCAATTATTACTTAAATTTTTTAATTGTAATTAAGGTTGTGGACTTTTTTTAATGAAATTAAACTCCACCAGTTCAAAATAACTAATAATTTTAAATACAATAGAAGAAACGAAAATAAGGTAAAGGTAACTTTAACAAAATAAAATAAAAAATAAAATTATTGACAATCATTAGTGGGTGCATTCAAAAACGTCAAAATACAAAGCATCAGTAATTTTTATAAGCTTTTATTTGACTTGGTCATACCGCGGAAATCGCGGAAATTTCCAATCGATTTTAAACTAACTTCCCGACAAGTTAGAGACTTGAAATTTTCAGCATAGTTCCAGTCACGATGACAATGCAATTTAAAATATAAATAAATTCCCTATATGGTCCAGGGGTCTTGATTCAAAGGCGGTCAAAAAATAGTAACATTTATGGCTAACAGAGCGTAATTTGCCAAAGAACGTAAAACCACTATGAAATTGTTAAAGCTGCCGGCGGTAGTGTAGCGAAGCTATTTGTGGCAAATTCTAGATATCAACCTAGTCTAGATAAGAACCTCGCTGCAGGCATCATATCAAGGAGATACAATTAGAAGACTCCACATGTCGCCCCGCCAGAAGAAGTTAAATATTGCGCTTAAATATATGCACCATTTACATACGATACAGCGGAAATGGGCGACACGCCACTTCTTTAAATTAAATTAACTGCTTCTATATTTATGTATATATGTATGTTTATACAAAACATAAGCAACCAACATTTTGCTTGTATAATCTTCTGTTCTCTTTCATTGCAAGTTAAATTATTTTAATATCTATTGCAAAATTTTGTACATAAAATAAAATAACACTTTTTAATATACAACGCTTTTATAAATGAACTAAAAATTAGAAAATAAAATAATGAAAAAAATATTTTTTATAAACAAGCTTTTATTTAACATGTGCAATCAAAGGAATAAAATAAAGTAGTGTAAAAAAAGATTTTTTAGCGAGAAATTTTTGTCAAAACTGCATTAAAATGAATAAAATAAAATCAGTTAAGGTCTCGTTAAAGATACTAAAAGCCATTTAGTGAAAGGAGTTATTCAAACTCTATTGAAAATTACTAACAATTGGTACTAATTTACTTCGTTTTTAAAAAAGCTTGTCGGCGAATTCAGCGTACATGCATAATTGGTTAGGTATGTATATGTATGTATGCAGATATTTAAATGCCGGTTTGCTATTCGCGCTACAAACTTTTTTAAAAACGAAGTAAATTAGTATAAATTGTTAGTCATTTTCATTGGAGTTTGAATAACTCCTTTCGGTAAATGGCTTTTAGTAACTTTAACGAGACCTTAACTTATTTTATTTTATTCATTTTAGTGCAGTTTTGACAAAATTTTTTGCTAAAAAATCTTTTGTTACACTACTTTATTTTATTCCTTTGATTGTACATGTTAAATAAAAGTCTGTTTTTAAAAAATATTTTTTTACATTATTTTATTATTTCTAAACCGCACTACAAAGAAAAGTCTAACTCGCACAACCAAGTTGAAAATTAGCATCTCACCGTGGTTGCACACATTTGGCACTACAATCTGCTGAGGTTTAGAAATAGAAGAGACTGATGCTTTGTATTTTGACGTTTACGAATGCACCTTATGTATGCGCATTGCAACTACTTTCACCGCGATGCTCATAAAACACTATTCGCACTTCTTCTACACTCCATTAAAACTAATCAAGTATGACCAATTTTGACCCTATACAACGCACTCGGTCTGCGCTTCGGTGATCAAAATCTAAATTTTTGGAATTTACACAGACGGTCTGCGCATCGCGGTAAAAGTAGTCCCAAACCATGGTGAAATTATACCACCTATAGTAATTAGAGCGAGAAAACAGATTTGACACTATCTTATTTGAAAATTTGCTATTAAAAATTTAAATAAGACAGCCGACTGTCAGGAAAATAAAGCGAGAAAACTGTTTTATTACTGCACCTGTTTATAATTTGACCATGGTTCCAAACTACTTTTATTTACAGATGTAAAGGTTTAATAACATTTGGCGGTTACAGATTTGCTTGTTTTTGGCCGAGCTTTTCCTCCAATTTGTGGTGTGCGGCTTGATGTTGTTACACAAATGGAGGGACCCAGAGTTATACGCCGGCTCCGAGCGGGAAAAGTTTTTTTGTGAGAAGCCTTTTCATGACAAAATACCTTCTCTCTTATATGTTACCCGGACCATGGATCGAACCCAGATCCTACGGAGTGGTTGTACGCGCCTCTAATCACTCAGCCACAGAGGTTGAATGCTAGTAAAACAATTTTTTTTTTGTTTTTAGTTCGTAATTTTATTTTTAATAGTTAAACTTTTCATGAGTATATAGGACAACGAGCATATGCATATAATAGATTGTAATATGAATTTTTGCATATATTTTAACAATAAAATTACCAAATCAGTAGAATAAACACATTTACATATATCTAATTAGACTATCAATGACAACCGATATTAGTAAATCCATAACTACTGAGAATTACTAAAAGTTATTTTGTTAAATAATCTTCTATTCATAATTTATTTTTATCCTTTTGAAAACATTACATTTTTAGGCTGTGATGCTATTATTAATTGCTTTCAATAAAAAATAGATTTAAATATTACAAAGAAGGAGGCTGCGTGCTATATTTGCCGAAGTATATTTCAGTAATCGTAGTCTAACTATAAATTTATTTAAGATCAGCATTTATACATAGTATAGTGTATAGATTTAAATATCATTATATAGTTCAGAATTGCCTTTATGAGTATTGTTTCTGTTTGAACATTCTAACGTGTCACTACATCTGCCTTTTATCTATCATCTAATTATATACTTTGGACTATCAAAACTTACATTGGAGATTAGGTAAATTTTAAATGCACTTTTAATACAAACATAATCAAAACGGATTCCATGAAGCACGAATATTTTTCGATAAAATTTAGCTATTACCATATTTAATTGAATTTGGGTATTATCAAACCTTGAAGCATATCAAAACTATTACCATCTGGTTGTACAGTTTGTATTACACCATCAGCGGATCTAACCCTTAGAAAGCCAACATCATCAATACCAATGACAGTCGCCTCCTCTTTATTTCCAGCTTTGTCGCATATCTTTACTTTTTGTAAGCTAGATATAAAATAAAATCATTAGTATTAATAACAAAACTATTTCTATATAAATCTAAGCTTACTCGTGCAACCACTGTGTATAGTATAGCTCATAAAAATATTCAAAATCGCCAGATTGTACAACCTCCAGAAGCCTTTCAATCTCATTAAATGTCATTGCAACGAACTGCTCATATTTTATCAACGGCATATTCGTACGCTTTGTGGTGTTATTTTCTCTAATCATACTATTGATGCAAGTCGTTGGCTTTTCGTTGTCCAAATTCATACCGCATCCTAAATTTACAATGATTTTAGAACCGAATATTGTTGTTTTCACAATAAGACCACCAATCTTTTGTACTCCATTTGCATATATGTCATTCGGCCATTTTAAACGGATGTCAAGATCCTTAAATATAAATATGGTAGAAATACATAAATATTAGAATCTTCGGCGTTTCTCGTATGAGAATTTGTTTCACGAATTGTATGTGTATATATGTACATACATACTTATGGTTAAGAAATTTCAATACTTGATTCATTAACGCATTTACTTTGCATCTGAAACTTACAAGATCATCAACAACTGAGCCGAGCCGAGAAAAACGTTGTAAAAGCAATTTTTTGCAAAACCGTTTTCCCCCACATTACCGTCAAGTTTCGGTTTCAGATGATTCATATTCCGTTTTCATTACTAATGTCAAATGTGATGTTAAATTTTTACAAAAAGTGTAGAATACCGACCTTTTAGCTATAGACAAACCAAAAATGTAATTGGATAGAACTCTTCATGCTGATTTCAACCTTATCAAAATTATTTAGCTCAAGTAAAAAATTAAGAAGATATAGGATGTTAAGTTACATTTTTCGATATTTTAAAGTATCAATGTCTTATGAACTACATAACCGATTAAAGAACTAATGATGTCAAAATAAAGATGATTAGTTTATATTTCAGTCGATGTACATAATTTTTCTGATTTTTTTTTATTTTTAAGTCAAATTTTCTAAAAAACAAAAAAAAAAATTTTCATTAAATTCCATTTTTTGAAGGTAATTGCATAATTAATGCTACAAAAATTTATATTACTTAGAAAGCATAAGTTATTACTTTATATAGAAAGGTCTGTTATAGGGCAAAATTTAGCGAAAGTAGTGGTAAAAATCAAGAATGTATATATATTTTATTTAAACAGCGTTTACCAAAAATTTGTTTTACTTCAAAATTACGAACGTCACACACTTTTTTCTCAATTGCTATTACAAATGGTTGCTTCTCAACCGGTCAGATCTATTCTAATTGGTTCATGGTTAATTTAGTTGTCTATTTAGACTGGGTTCACACAGAGAAACTTGTCTCATGTAAACGCTTTGTAAGTCCCAGATGTGTTCTAACGTCACAAAGCAGTTTTTGCAAAAATTTCAGATGAGGGTATTGAATATAAGCCCTCGATATGTATGTAGGTGTATACCCTTCATTATTATTAATTAGTTATTATCCAGATCATCTGGTAACACAGATATTGCTTTTATGTTTTTACCGACATTCGTATAATCGCTACTTTTTAACACTCGCTGGTTTAGTTGTCTATTTAATACGACAAAATTTTCGACACGAGTTTTCAGCGGAGACGTTTGTTTCTTTTTTCTTTTGTTCATGAGAAGCATAAAAAATATAAAATTAAATTGGTTTTGGTGAAAAAGTAAGTGAAATTAACTGGTTTGATTGCCTATGTAGGAAACGTTCAATAAGTAAATCATTTTGTGGATGATTTTCTAACTACATAAACCTTTTTGTTGAGTGCGGGGGTATCGCGGCGCAGCAAGTATGTATTGTAATCGCAATTGTTACACACAATACTGCAGTAAAACAATGACCATAAATACATATTGAAAAAGGGCGCTGCTGAGACAAGTGCGTCAGGATAGTCACCTAATTTGCATTCTGCATTAGTGAGCGATAGTGCTGCAATGAGAATTTAAAATGCATATAAATGAAAAATCGATTATGTTGGGTCGTTTTTCCGTTTTTTTGTTCGGTTTTTTCGTTACCACCTAAGGATACGTGAGACAGGCAAACCGAGACGGCGACAGTAACGAGCACTGTTGTATGCGGCAAAAGCCGACCTAGACCGAGGCCAGAGCTGCACCAAAAAAGCAATAAAAACAATTACGTTTTCTGACAAGGGGCTGGGTGAATGATGCTTTCAAATTATTAGCGAGTTTTGAGTGGATTCAGTAAAGCTTTATATTGTACAATTTTACAAAATGTAATTCCAATTTCAGATCTTTTCACATGTGTTTTTTTTTTGCAGGGAATACATACGATCCTCTACCCCGCCATTGTCATCATCACTTTCCTCCAAAAATGACGTCGGCCTCCGCTGTGGCAGCGCCGTTACCGGTCAACGATCTCGATGTCATACAAGATATGATAGACATTTCGGCCGATCGTTTGGAGGGTTTGCGTACGCAATGTGCCACCAGCGCTACACTGACGCAACAGGAAATTCGAAGTCTGGAGTCGAAATTGGTGCGCATGTTCTCCAAACTATTATTAACAAAAGCACGTTTAAATGAGAGAATACCAGCCAGCGGTTTGCCTCACACAACCGGCACTGAGCTGAAACAGTGGCTTCGTGTTGTTGGTCTAAGTCAAGAATCATCTAACATATGTCTCACCCGCTTGTCCACATTGGAACAACTTCTCGACCAGAGTGATGAAGAACTAAAGCAGTTGCTATCCAATAATCCAAGTTATCGCACAGAAGAAGATATTCGCCGGCTGACGACTGCCATGCAAAACCTACGTAAATGTAAGGAAAACTTGGTTATGCTTGAAGGTGGCAATGGCGTCGCAACTAGCAGCGGTAATGAAGGAAAGGAACCACTGACTGAACAATTATTTTGGGATTCATGGGATCGACATCACACCCATCATCATCATCATCATCGTGGCAGTATAGGCAACATTGGTATAACATCTTCGCCCCGCACACATCGCATGATCACAAAGCAAGCAAAACAGCATCATCATCAATCGGCGGGTAGTAGTCGGCAGTCGCCATCCCATGATCACAGCTGCAAATCAGCTTCAGCGGCTGCAATAAATAATACTACTGACGATTTGTCAAGTATGCAAGGGTCTACCCTCACGCTGACACTGACTCCTTCACCTCCTAATTCCCCATTCACGCCCACAAGTATAATTAGCAATTTTAGTACAGTCTGCAGTGGTGGCAGCAGTGCTAATGGTACACCACAACGAGGCAAGCCAGCTGGAACGCCGCCCCCAATGAAGAAACATCAGACCTTACTGTCCAGTATACAACAGCATACACCTACACACGCGGGTATTGCTTCTGCAGCTGCAGTTTCTGTAATGCACGCAAGTCAGCAGCAAGATTCACCAATGCTTCCACTAGCCAAATCAAAGTCAAATGAGTCGCAGTTTCGAGACACCCCCCTTTCCAGTACTAGTTCTCCACAATCGCATTCATTGGCATCATCAGCTATTGGGGGAACAGTGCTGGCAGGCAGTAATGCTTCGTCACAACCACGTTCCCGCTTGCATACAGATCCCAGTCCAGATAGTTATTCTTCGGCTAGCTCGGACGTATTCGCTGAGAACAATAATAATCCAAACAATCTTCAAGTACCACGATCACCCGGTACATTAACCCTAGGCATGGGGCACACCATATCACATCGGTTTGCCAAAGTCTTCCAGGTGATGTCAACATGTGACCTTTGTCAGAAGCAAATGTTTTTTGGTCTCAAATGTAAAGAATGCAAATACCGTTGCCATAAGGACTGCGAACCGAATGTGCCGCCTTCTTGTGGACTACCGCCGGAATTTGTGGATGAGTTCAAGAAAACACTCAAGGACCAAGTAGGCTTTCCAACTCTACCGCATAACCAACCAACTGCGAATACATCGCCTAATCTAAATACTTTTGGGAGAAACAGAGCTCAGCGCCGTAATAAGTCTGGTTCAACAGTGAGTAGCAGTCATCAGCCCGATAGTAGTTCACCCGGCTCCAGCTGCAACAGCTCTAGTCCTTCCAGCCCAGCGCTATTTAATATGCAACAACAACATGGATCTGTACATGCGGGTACAGTCTTCATTACTAGTGGTGGTAATATGATGAGCTCCTCCGGCGGTGGTAGCTCAAGTACAAGCTCTAATATGCTGTCCACGCCCTCCTCATTCCAAAAGAATACGAGCCAATTCAACTTTCCAGACGTGACCATCACCTCTAATTGCAATCAAGCCGCTGGTGGCACAACCCAGACACTATATTCCTCCCAGAATAGTGGCACAGAATCGACTAGCGGTGAACTTATTTGCTCACAGCAATCAGACTATCATGATGGCAACAACTCGCTCACATCTTCAATCAATAAATCGAGTTGCGGCAGTGAGAGTTTATCTAGTAGCACAGTAGTCGCCTGCATGGGATCCTATTCTAGCAACACGAACATTTCTACAGTAACAACTTCGACCAACAGCACTGTGCACTCCATTACTTCGAGTATAGTCAGCACTGGTACGGGTTCATTCTACCCGCGAAAACTGAGCTCAGCTGGTGTCGACAAGCGTGCTCCTTTCTCAGAGCTATCCGACACACACAAATCTAACGATAGTGATAAAACTGTTTCGTTGTCGGGAAGCACTTCAGCAAGTACTGACTCCGACCGGACACCGATACGACTGGACTCTACCGAAGATGGTGATTCGGGAAATTGGCCTCGTCAAAATTCACTGTCACTCAAGGAATGGGATATACCTTATGGTGATTTACATTTACTTGAATCTATCGGCAAAGGACGGTTCGGTACGGTGCATCGTGCATTATGGCATGGCGACGTAGCTGTGAAATTACTCAAGGAAGACTATCTCGACGATGAGCACATGCTGGAAGCATTCAAATTGGAGGTAGCCAACTTCAAAAAGACGCGACATGAGAATCTTGTACTCTTTATGGGCGCTTGCATGAATCCGCCACACTTGGCCATCGTAACGTCGTTGTGTAAAGGCAATACGCTCTATACGTACATACATGCACGGCGCGACAAATTCACCATTAATCGCACCACGTTAGTGGCGCAGCAGATCTCTCAAGGAATGGGCTATCTGCATGCTCGTGGCATTCACCACAAGGATCTACGCACAAAGAATATTTTCCTGGAGAATGGAAAAGTTATCATAACGGACTTCGGTCTATTCAGCTCCACCAAACTATTGTATTGTGAAATGGGATTAGGTGTGCCCAATGGCTGGTTGTGCTACCTGGCGCCGGAGCTGATGCGTGCACTAATGCCACGCAAGCCGACCGAAGAGATTTTACCCTTCTCCAAGGCATCAGACGTATATTCCTTTGGTACGGTATGGTATGAGCTGCT